AAAAAAAAAAAAAAAAAAAAAACATAAACATAATAAAGTTTCACATATGTCCTCCCAATCTATACAAAATAATCAAACATGGAAATACATAATTAAAAAAAAAAAAAAATACAGGACACTGGATCTAAAGATCCTCCTATAGCTACACGATTCTTGAACGCTCCTACCAACGACCACTACTTTCATGAGACATTTGAAAAATAAAACAAGCCATAGTAAAGATGTGTATAAAAACACTAAGTAATCTACTTTTAGGTTCTCATCGTTCTTGTCTCATATTTAATGTTCTAAGTACCATGAGCCTATATCTGTTCTAAGGTCCTTGTCAATGTTCTTTGTATCGAATTCAAGTCTTATTATTTAGAAATAAAGAAGAATTTCATAGTTTAAGTTTCTAAGTTATAGGTCATTCTTATCGAACTTAAATTGGGATCTATGCTTCTAATGGGTTTCGGCCTTCGTGTTCTTCACCAAAATTGTTTCAAATCCTTTCACAAAACTATAGAATTAAAAATTAATCCCTGAGATCTACTTCAAAGAGATATATTTAAGAAAAATAAATACGAACTTGTACAAACTATTTTTCTATCGTTTGCATGATTAAGAAGTTCTCTCCAAATCCACCTCAATAAAACTCCATAACACTACCACCTATATAAAACTTCTAAAAAAATCCAAACCAATTAACTTTAAAACCTTCACCAATCTTAAAAAATGTAAGGTTGCCAGAGATATCGATACATGGTTCTCGAGGTTTAACTTGACATAGCTAGAACTAAAAAACAAAGAAGCCATAAAAGCCTTAAGTACGTGTCTGAAGAACCCTTTAACGATGATCAAAACCCTAATTCTAAACCTTGAAACCCGATCAAAAAGAAAAGGTTCAAATTTCCTTCCATCTTCTTCCTCCTTGGATGAGTTCATCAAGGCTTGGATGTTAGATTGAAGGCAATGCAAGTAATTGATCCCGAAAAACGCATCACTAGTGCACCCTTGTTCCTATTTTCAGGCTTCAAACGACTCGTTTTTCGTAAATTGCTTGAATCTACGGTCGTTAAATCATCGACACGTCTCTCCTCATCCATCTAAACAATCAAAACAAGAACATATAAATGTAGTGTGATTATTGTGAGAGGACAAAAAAAAAAAAAAGGCTTAAAAATGGTACCTTCCAAATGGACATAACATTGGCCAAGTCCTTATCTTCATCAGCTTGGAAGAAACAACCACGGTTCTTGGCATAAAAAAACCAACTCTTCCCATATGGAATCACAACTTGATAGTGTTGTGAAGTTCCCCAATATCCATAAACAATATCTATATATGCCTTTGTTATCGATTCGATATTCTGAAATCACACAAACAAGTAAAAAAAGAAGTACAAAAAAAAAAAAAATAGTATCAGTAATTGTTACCTGGCTCGAGTAAGAATGACATTTGTTCTTTGATTACTGGATAAAAATCCAATCGACGAGCCTCTATTTGATCGCACGGTAGAAATGACAATGATGTCCTCCTCGCCACCTTGAAATCCATCAATTGAGCTCACTATAACCTTAAAGTTACTATAATTATTGTAATTACACCCAATTTTGTTTTGAATGGCAGCTACTTGAGCTGAATAAGGTGAGATCACCCCAATGTTAATATTCTCTTTTGAGTCAACACATGCTGCAAAACATATCAAAGAGGAAAAAGAATAAGCATCTAAGAATTTAGATACCCAATTCCCGCTCGTGACGTATATAACACGATACACGAACTATAAAGTGTAGAACGATTAGCTTATGAGAACTATTCAATGATATCTTCCATACCGTGCGCATTCGCACTCATCATCTCTAGGGGAAGTAGCCCTCTATGCTTATGAACATGCAATATGCATGAAGTCCCTCTAAATCTCATCATAGCGTCTCTTCTGAAACAACCCTCTAGTCTTATCTCTTTGTTACTCTAAGTAACATATGCTCGTGGATCTTTATATTAATATCATTTTCATGCTCTTAGGGTGGTGTCTTATGTTAGTCTATCGACATGATGCAATATGGAACTCATCATCATACAATGAGCTTAGCCTCGGTAGAAGTTTGAGTATGGATGCATTCTGTATGATGGCCCAATGAGCTTAGCCTCTTAAACAAGCTTCTCCCAAAATTGGCTTCATTAGCCGTGAGTGAATGGTTGATAAGAAGATTATATTATGAAGAGTAAAAATGTTCTCTATAATATACAAACAATACAAAAAGATATTTAGAAAAATTACCTAAAAATCGACAGAAAATCTAGTAACAAACCAGTAAACAAATCAAAGCAAAACTAAATCGAACTCCTAACGATAAAGTGATTTAATCAGATACTAACTGACAGCAATCTAAACAAATACGTGATCTTTAATAATTCTTATTTAGATACCGTGAACTCCAAGCTTTTTTCTGAACACCCATCTTACTCCAATTATCTCTCTATTTAGAGGTCGATCAAACAACTCCTAGATTTTGTTTTTCTTGATCACTGAAAGCTCCTCCTCTTACAGCTGCATCATCAACCAAAACATCTTGTCGTTCATATTTAGACTCTTCTTGTCATTCATCTTCAGACTCTTCTAACATGCTACCAAACATTAAATTGTTTGGTGCATTAGAAATCTGATGCACCTTCGTCAATTCTTCTAAATTCTATTGCTCATTTTCAGCAAAATTAGCATCTCGACTCACAATAACACGACTAGTGTGTGGCTGAAAAACTCTGTAAGCTTTGGATATAGTGCTATACCCAACAAAGATGCCAACTTTTGACCGGTGGAATGTAAGTGAAGCAAAGACACCTAAATACTCAACTTTAAAGAAGGTTTGTAACCATACCAGACTTCAAATGGCGTCAAGTCCTTCACAACTTTTGTTGAAATTTGATTTTGCAAGCACATAATAGTGTTTGCTGTTTTTCCCCAAAAACGTTTTGGAAGATCCTTCTCATGAAGCATGCATCTCGTCATCTTCATTATGAATCTATTCCTCTTTTCACTAACGTCATTCTGTTGAGGAGTGTATGGTGTTGTTAACTGATGTTCAATTCCAGCCTCTTCACAAAACCTGTTAAAAGTTTATAAAGTGTACTCCTTGCCATTATCTGATCTTACCATCTGAATCAAGCATGCACTTTCATTCTCAACTCTGGCTTTGATTCCAAAAAACCCCCCGCAATTTCTGACTTTTTCTTTAGCAAGAAGATCCAACACATTCTTGTTAGATCATCAATAAAAACAATGTAATAAAGATTACCATTTAATGATGGTGTTCGCTGAGGACCACAAAGATCAGTATGAACCAGCTGCAGTTTTTTCGAGGCTCTCCATGCCTATTTAGGAAAGGGTTGCTTATGTTGCTTCCCAAAATTACAAGCACGACAAGGAGGCATGTCATCATCAATGTTAGCGAGTCCTTCTACCAGCTTCTTTAACTGCATATGAAGCAAATCTCGATGATGAATATGCCCAAGTCTTTTGTGCCAAATCTCAGTGGCACTAGCTCTGGATATA